ATGTCATCCTCTCTTCTTCAGAAGCGTCGTCATTTTTTCTGGTCACTTAGTACATCTTGTAACCTTTTATCGTATGACTTAAATTGCCTTTTTACCTGCTTCGCAATTTACATAAACTATCGCTTTCATCTGCGCATATCTCTGCCAGAGTTTGGTCACTAACCTTTGTTCACAACGGGTGCCTGAACTACGTTCTTCTGATTTTCATTGTATCCGGTGTAATCATAAGCGGATCTTTATCACCCATTCCTCAGGCCTTAGCTGGATTCTTGCGGGCAACGCTGATCGCAACCCTGTAAAACTCAGTTCGAGTTCGAGTTAGCAGTGAGTTAGTTCGACCGACTGCAGACTTCTATGAACAGGCAGTATTTCTGGCTTCGTTTGGTTCGTCCTCAGCCAGGTGAGCATTTCTTTTTTAAGGTAGTATATAGAATATTTCGATCACTGTAGCTTGTAACCTGATGTTTCCGTTCACATGATATGGCACTCATTTGTCGAACCCTGAAGGATGAAAAATGAACCTCCTGACCACGACTAGAACCCATGAAATTTCGATTATGAACGAATTCGACGCTAAACTGTGACCACTGAGGAAGTCTGCAAAAACCAATCATAGTTTACGATTTCAAAGGGGGACACATTATTGCTGAGAACGAGCCAAGCGAACGACCTCTATTGAATAAGGCCAAAAGATTCGCGTCACTCACCGACCAAGGCTTGGCGACAGTAAGGCGAGTGCATTGTGCATAACAGGCAGAGCGAGCCATTGTTCCGAAGGCTCAGCGGAATAAATCTGAATTAGTTCCGTAAATGATAACCGTTTTTTGACGGACGATTTGCTGGGAACCACTGAGAAAATGCTTCCTTTGTTGGTCATCCTGTAAACGCCGTGTTAATCGTCACGAGGATCGCGTTGCACGACGCCTCGCTTTCGAATTGGTCTTTCGGGAGGTTGTAGCTGAGACCTGAATCGAACCAAACTCATGTGTTTGATCTTGGACCGGCATCGTCTGACAACAGCCCCATTATGCTCGTACTGTACGACGGGAGAAGGGGGAGGGGGGCACGCAGAAAAAATCTTCACCTCGTAACCCGCTTCGAACACCGCCCAAGCAGCGGCGACGGGGCCGATGCATGAAACCCACTCTGACAGACGTCAAGCCGCAGCTGTGAACGCCGATCAGATGAGGTGTTGCTGACTCACCGCACCAACAACAATTTCCTGTAATATTTACGATGTTTTTGACGACGCCAAACTAGATAACCTTGTGAAAGTGTCCATGTGTTCTAAACGCCAAGATCTACTGCAGATAGGCAATAAGAAGAAAATTTACAGCTTCGGGATAAGTGAGATGAGCGTGCAAAAGTTGAACTGAGAAATGATCACTTCGCGCCTCCGACAACTGTGCACCGTGGCCTGTAAACCGATAGCTTCAGGGGCGTTGTTTAAAGTCACCCAATGGCACAGTGACTGATGATGCAACGAACAGTTGCACAACGGCCCACAGGATGGCTTGGCACACGCGTACGACGCCGGCATGCGTGGCACAGATTTTTTCAACCACTGCTTCCATCTGATTTCGCCAAAGCTTCCATTTGGAAAGACGCATCGAGAAAGCTGGTGACCAATGCGGAATCCGGCAAAACGTTGGTCGCATAATTAGAAAGATGTGCGATCTTTCGCCAAGTACAGTATGAATACGAACTGAGGGCAAGTTCAGTTCAGGCTGAGGCACGGAGGAGGGGAACCCTCACCGTGTACAATTTTGTCTCGACCGGTTATACTGTAAACAGTGTACAAAGCACTGACGCTAAGCCGGCGGAAGTGTGCAACATCTGCATCCGCTCTCTTGCATTTGCCAATAACATCGTATTGCTAGCGAACGGCATCAGAGCTGTGGTGTAGCTGTTTCCAACGCTGAAACGTAGGTGCTGTGAAGTGGGTCTCTTCATCAATCTAAACAAGGCAATGTGGATGGAAAAAGGCATAAATCAGACCAACAACGCTCTTACCATTTACTCCACAGCAGACCTTCTGGGGAAGGCATTTGGATATGGATAACTTCGTAATAATTTGATTGCGAATGGATGAACGACAAACATGTTGAGAATCACTAAGCGCTGGAATTACCTCTCAGCAACAAGCTAGGAATCGACTGATTAGTGAAAGGACAAAGACGTCGACCATGGCACAAATCTGCGGATATTCAGCACCTACATTCTGACTTCTGATTTTCAGTACGGTCTCGAGACGAACAGCACTTTACAAAGCCCATTAACGGTAAAAAACTGGAAGCGATGGAAACGCAGATTTTGAGATCAGTATTAGGAGTAAAGTGACGTGATCGAAATGCTGTTGTAATGAAAAGAATACGCTATGAAACCAAGTAGTGAGGTAAAAAGAGTTTATCACTGTCTTCAAGCAAGTCACTGCACTCTGACTGAAGCTTTGGCG